GAATAATTAAGTTCAGATAAAGACCCTGAGTATTTAAATATACTGTTAGTCTATGCATTTCATCTACTGAAAACCGTATGATCCTTGGCAGGAAAGTCAATTTAAAATTATTTCTAAAAAGAGTGATGAGTTATATTTATATTATATATAAATAGCTGTTGGATTACACCCAGTTGAAGTCAGATTTACAGGTTGAACGAACTGTCTCCAACTAAAATGCGGGAGTTAAGTGTTCCACATCTGGTATATCCTAATTAGGCTTAATTAATTTAAATTTTCTAACGTCAGCTTGTAAGAGAAAAACTGGAATGTTTATTTCTTGCAACACCAGTCTGTTAGTAAGCTTTTCTTTTTAAACAAGTTTAACTTTTTATAAAGAGTTTTCCTCACCGTCAGTCATAACTTATGCTACTGATTTTACCAAGATTATTAAACCATTGAAATATACAGGCTATAGCGTTTACTTTTATACTTGAGTTTGCAAAAACTAACGAGATGTCTCTGCTGGAATTTAAACTCAACAGATCATTCAATCAAATAATTGCTACGAACAGAATACTTGTTATGGTTTTCCCTTCAAAGGAATTAGTGACTTAAGTAGGGAGATAGGTGAAATTTCTCACCATTATCCAAGATTTACATTAACATCTAAGCCAACAGATATGCTTATAAATATGTATATTTCTGCGCAAATATGTATATATGTGTCACTGATATCTATACTTGAATAAGTAAAAACCAATTATTCCTTCAGTGATTTTGACCAAAACTATGCTGTAGAAAGGATGTTACTAACACAACTTTCAAAAATTCTTCAAGTTAAGAAATTATTTCAGAGAAATATTCATATTCTTCATTAAGTAATTTGACAAATAATTATTATTTATCAGTATGGTGTTGTGGAGATTGTTGAATCTTATTGAAATCATGAACCGATCTAAGTTAGACCAACATTGAAAACGTGGAGGCAATGGAGAACCGTTTCATCCTAGTATAGGACTTCTCAGAAGTTCTCATCCGCTACATTATCACCATTGGTCGTCGGCTCAATAGTCTAGAGGTTGAGCGTCCGCGCTCAGGCTGAGGATCATGGGTTCGAGTCTCGCACGCACAGTCGTGGATACCTAATGCTGAGGAGTCCCATACTGGGATGAGATAGCCTTCCAATGCTCCCAGGATTTCAATCGTGGTCTAACTTAGATCGGTTCACGATTTCTATGAAATCATTATTTACCTAGTCCTAAGTAATAAGCGAAACTAAGTTTATCTTGTTGAATGTACGTAGTGTTTGGAGGTTGTTGTTAAAACTTCAGATTCACTATTGTTGGTGGGAATCTAGTTGTGATGAGTTCTTTATAAGGGTGTCTTGATATGTGAGACTTATGTCGCCATAAGTGTTGATCAGTTTGGTAGATGAACAGTTGAAGTTGTATACCGTTATTTTGTTGACTTATTTCATCGTCGTTCATCTATGTAGATGGTAATAAATAATGCAAATTAACTGATTTGCCAAAAATGGATGGACTTCACCTGACTTTACGTCTTATCTGTTGAGTAAGAAACAGTGAATCTGTCCGACTGAGTAAATTTAAATAAGTCGGGAGCGATTTGAAAGTGTGATCTAAGGGTTTAAAACCGAGAATTTCAACGACTAACAGCCACCTAACCATTAGGCTAACCGTAAAAATGTCTTTTTATTTTATTACGAAGAAACAATAATCTACACCGAATTCCTATTGTAAGGTTTTAAAATTTTCCAAATAGTGAATCATAAAGACGTATCACACAACTGGATTGGTATGTATATTATTATTACCAAGCATGAGGGAAGAAATTAGGTGGAGGATAAATACAAATGGAATAAACTGAATCGTAAAGAGGGATTCATGCACTGTCAATTAGTGAACTGAAAAACATGGGGTATTTGGGCAAGTCTATTTTGCTGAAAGGAACTTCCTGTATTAAGCCGAAATACCAGGAACAATTTTGTGAGAATTACTGTTTTGTCGTGGTACACTTTACAGCACAAGATAGGTTTATTTACTAAAAGCAAACTAATCGGATAATTTTATCCCAACTTCAAAATTTTCGTCCGACTTATCAGATTAATAATAATAACAGCTAAATTATTATTTACTCAAATGATTTTCGATAAATTGGTCGATTCGAAAACAGATAGCCGTATATAGGCGTTTACTGAAGAAGGGTGAGAAAAGCAAAGAACTGGTTACTTATTTCTCTTCTCCAAAAGCTTTACCTAGTGCACAAACTCACTAAAATGAGACTGAACTCAGAGTCATCACATAACGATTCTGTCAGGATCTAAAGATCCATCATTTAGACAGAGTTACAACTTTTATTATCAATTGTCTACGATTTATACTATTATTAAAAGTTGTGGATTAATTTTTTTGTATTTTCAGTCAAATGTTCTCTACTATCGTGTCTCAGTTTGACCAAGTGACTTTTATCTGTTGCTCCTTGCTACTGACGAATTTAACTGTATGTTTAACAGTGATCTGGGTGTGCAAACGTAAGCAACAGTTAAAACAGCATCAGCTTCAATACACCTTTAGTCAGAACCTACATGCGAAACAGCTGTTAAGTGATTCACTGAGATGTTCCATTTTATCTGCTACTACACCACAAAAAATTGGTGGGACACAGCAGCAACCAGTTCATCATAATGAGTTTGGGGCGTGTTTGAACTATGAACTCTACGATGAATTTGAACCATCTAGCCGTACTAATTGTCCAAAATGTATGGCTTTCATGATAGAACAAATTAACCCCTTATTACCTTATCAAACAACAAGAAGCATCAGTCAAGTGTCGGTGAAAGACTCATTGAAACAGCCGTCAAATGAAGATCTTATCTACCTTAGTTTTTTGAATAGGCATTCAATAACAGCTCACCAAAACTGCAGGGTACAACCAATATTGGAAGCAATGACAAATAAACCAACTGAAAATTCTAATATTTAGTTTGAATTTAGATTTATCGATAAGTGATGGGAATGATAGTGAAATAGGACATAATTAGATAATAACGCTAAGTTTTATAGCTGCAAACAAAATACTTATCAATGTCCTTTGATCGTCACTATAATAAACATATTTCTATAAAATGTTTTTCTGAGTAAAAAGTTAATTATATTATCTAACTGAAATTTCTCGAAGTATCTAATCACTAAGTAATGCTCTTCATGCTAGTTGACATGCTACATTATCTAAGTGAGCAGTAATACCTTTTAAATGTAGTATTAATTATCTTCAGACAAAACTGAGAAGTACACAGCATACTAACGAAGCGTTTTCTAACAAACTTGATGAAAACAATTTCTGTAATCTAGATAATTAGTTGGTCGTAAACGTCACAGAAAATGGTACACATGTCTATCAGTCCATATGTCACCATATCAAGAGAAATTAACAAGGTGAGAACCACATCAGGGGAAATAAAAGTATCAACTGTAGCGGGAAGACAAACATACATTATATAGTTTAAGAGAAATGTAAGGGACGATACGAAATTTAGAGTAAGATAGAGAATGGATGCATTTAGGATCAGTTTCAGCCATAAATGAAGATCATTCTATTGAAGAGGTCTGGGAGTATATCTACATGTTTTGATGCTACGCAGTTCAATACACAATAATCCCATGAAGTGACTGTCTTCATAGTACTCCTAGTCTTCTCCAAACCTGCTAATTTGCTACCTGAGTGGTTGGAAGGCTTATTTAGTATCGTTATGTTTCAGCTCCAGGAGGACGATAGACTTGGTCAGTACATTAACTCCCACGTCTGAGACATCTCTAACTCTCGAATCTGCCGATCTCAAACTCTAGTTAAGAGTTAGCTGATCACCGAAGCTAGCATCCCACACATTAATGGTTAGACTGTTTCCTGTGGTTGCCAAGAGGATTTATCACCTTTACTCGTGAACTGGGGTCAGGGACCGCAGCCATTCTTGTAAAATTATGTTTATCTACCAAACGTAAGCTAACATCGTAACCTAACAGTTGAGAATTGAACACCAAAACTAAATGTCTCTACAAGTTAGCCCGCAGTGGTTTAGTGTATCCCCTTCACAGGATAATTCCTCTAGTCCCTCTTTGGATCGGAAAAACGATTTTACACTCAGGAATTTAATAAGCGGTCCGCAGATCTTTATTCATGAATAAGACTACTTGATTTTTTCAAAGTATTCTGCTCATTATTTAGGTTTTTGAAAGTAGACTTAGTTATCTTTTCCAAAGAAAATTTCGCAAACTTTAAGCTCAGTTCTATTAGGTGGGTCTAAACAGTTGTCTAGTGTGATCTAATTGATTTGCTGAAACAAGCATAGAGTTTAAGTTGCATCAGATAAATTTTAGTATTGGGAATTCCACTATAACATCAGCTCTTATGAAATCAATTCGTAGTCATGTCCCAAACTAGGAAAGCAATTAGCTAGGTTTTCTACTGTTGACTATTGAGGCTTCAGTGAAGATTCAAAAAGAAACATGATTTTATGCAGCTTGGTGACCGTCGTGTCGGTGGAACGCCAGCCACTTAAGCTGGGATGTAGTATCTATTCGTAGTCACTGACTCTTGGATTGCAAACCACCAAGTTGGAGTACCCATGACAATCAGGTTTAATAGTTTGAGGTCTTATGTGACAAGGCTTAGAATTGGTCTAGATAGTAAAATGTGTGCTTTTTCCTCCTTCTAAATTTAAATTAACAGTATTATTTCTTACTCTTATCCGAAGCATCAACCCCTGCTTTTCGAAACATATTCTACTTAATCGTTTTAGCTGTTATTGATACTATTATTGTCTTGACTACTTTGCTCGTCACCTTTATCTCACTGTGATGATGCAATGTGGCGAATTCGCTCGACCTACTACTACTAAGTCCTAGGTAGATAATTGCTGAGTAATAACAACAATCCAAAAAAGTCGATGATAAACATACTTATGTGGTAGGCCAACTTACCAAGCTGTACGTCGATTATGACTTGGTTAGATGTTTTGTTAACAAACCTTAATGTTTTTACCAAGGAGACTTGTTCTGATTAGAAAACGACTATCCTTTAAAAACAGGTTTATCGAATCTACTTTTATTGAATATACGTGACCATATAAATCATAGTCGCTAACTACTGATAGCTAAATTATGTAATTTCATGTACTTAAAAATTAATATTGCACCTTCGTTTTACTACAGATATTCGTCATCAAAAATAATTGTGAAAATACTATGCAGACCAAACGTCACAGTTCACACCGATGTCCAGTGGAGTGTATTGGAATATGGAATCATTCACGATAACAATCACCAGAAACACTTTAACTGGTCCTAGGTTTAAAATCCAGAAAGTATACGTTTAAAAGTCCAAAATATTATTAAAACAATCATCAAACAAGCACAATATAGCTGCAGAGTCAGGAAATTAAGTACCAGAATCTAACAGTGTAAGGGAAAAAGAACAGTTCTAATATCTAACATATAGTTGAAGACAAATACCAATAGAATGAATGGTTCTTTAAAATAGCATGAAATAGAAATACAAATAAATCTTTTATATACCCCTGAAAGAGACTAGAAGACTACTAATCGAAGCGTGTTTCTGAAAATAAACATGATGACTCAATGGAATATGCTTTCTACGACAACAAATAGTGCAATGATAATAGTAATATCTAGGAATAAAATAATTCAAAAATATCACGTTCGGTGCAGTAATCCTGTTAGATAACAATAACAATATCTGGAGTGAATAAGTATTCCCAACAGAAAAGGTCGTGTTTATATTACTTCATGACTGAATACATAAAGTATGGGTTCATAAACCATATGCCTTCCACATCATAAGTTCGAAATAGGAATCCGAATCTATCGACGCACTAACACCACTGTAGTAATTCAGAAATTCTTCCCAGGTAACCTGAAATAGTGCAATTAAAAATATCTCAGTAAATTCACATTCAAAAGTCATTTCCATGTGGACATTCATATTTACAAAGGATTCCATAACAAAACTAACTCAAAAATCACATTAGGGTAACAGTAGTGAAGACTACGTGTTTGTTTACAATTACTATAACACATTTAATATTTCTTGAAACAAAAATATGGTATGACGAGGACACCAAGAAATTTACAAAAAATGCCTTAGCGATAAGATGCAAACTGACCTAGAAGCAAGCATGCAACAGTCTTCAAAACCATCTCTCAAACCTCTGATTTATCTTGATGAACGGAAGACAGCAATAGAGTTTTCATTATAATGACAGTCGATGATCAATACAAATTCAGTACATCATGTCTTTGATTTGGAATTAAGGTTTCCAAACGTCTATTGAAAGACACCGAGATTCTAACCATATGGTTTATTAATAGTAATGACAATAAATATGCCCTTATTTCCTTTATACTTAAATCACAAGGCCTGTGTAAGTAAATAAGACCATAAACTGAGACAATCTTCTGGTCTTATTAATGCTGAATGACATATTAATAGAATGCCACCCTGTGAAGTTATGAATGTTACTTTACCATGGAAACTATCAGTGAACATATTTACAGGCTGAAAGTAGTAGAGATCATGTACTTAACGGTATTCGTTTTCAAAGTAATAATCGTACACATCATTCAAACAATGCAACGAAATGTGTTCTTAATATTCAGGCATTGTTCTCAAAAACAGTACTTATGAGTTGATTACATTTCATTTCAATAGTGCAACAAGAGGTATATTACACTAGACGAAGTAGCTTCAGTTTTTAAAAAATTGAATCGGAAATATCATAGTATTAAGGGAACTTGGTGCATCCCTCTTTTCATAGAACATGTAGTAAGATGACAGCTGGGATATATTTCGAGTTGTGTCCGGTACCAGTTAAAGCCACTAAATATCACGATGGCTAGAACTCAATAATGTCAATACACAGTGGTAATTTCCCTTTCAGAGCACTAAAATGAACTTTGCATTTTCAACAAAAGAGCAAAACTAATATTATCAGATCTATTCAACACACGCCAACACAGCAAGACTAATATCGTATCACAAGTAGTACATTTCAACGAATGTTCCTTTGGTTTTTACTGTACATTGGTCGACGTTGTATACCATAATGACACCCAATAACTGGTCACATAAGTTAATGAATACATACCGATAACATCTAGAATGACAGTGAAAATATCGAGTTTAGAGAAAATAATACTACCAAAAACAAGGTTTCATGATTTGCGATACATACGACATTGTTTAAGCATTTGACAAAAGAGGATATAATTACTTCATCGGCTATGCCTTTTTTCCTTACTAGCACTAATATACTATTACTTCACATACTACACTTTTATGTCGCTATGCTGATATGGTATGGCAACTTGGTGCACCCAACTAATATAGTTGTTCCTCAATGGTGCTCACGTTCTCTTTGAGGATCCCTTTGGATGAGTAACAATATCATTATTCCAGAGTGATGGAACACTCAGTTGATTATAGTTTTTAGTTAAAGTTTTTTCCAGACCACCACTACGTAGAGTGGGATAAATTCTCTGTCTGTCTGTGTCCAGTATTTTAGGCGAATTTTTGAGTTTACAATTGACGCATCATCAACCTCAGACTGCAGCGTTGACATAAAATATATTCCAAAAATCTAGGAAAGAATTACCGTCTTGGCAATAATAAGAAACTTTTGACCAAATCGGCTTCTTTTCAACCGCTCTCAACCAGGAATTATCTTGCTCGTAAGATCAAACCTTCGGGAAACCAAAAAATTTAAAAATACCTTAAGTGGTACCTAAGTGGTATAACTACAAATAATCTTATGGAAAACAGTCTCTCCTAAGCTTACCAACAAAAAAACTAATTCAGTCAACCGTAAAACTATAAACCGATATGTCACAGTTAAAAAATCATCTTATCAATGTTCACAGGGCTATCATGCGGCTAATAATACCAAAGTGTGGTTCTGGGCGTAAACATCAGGTTAGTGATGGTGACGGGTTTTGCTTGATTTCTTATAACAATCATAATCTTAATTACAAAATATCATACAACTCAAACTAAATTAATACCACTAAGATAATTGATTCTAAATTAGTCACAGAGATACACAAAATTGCAAACGTTTGGTAAGATTTAGAGATTTCAATAAACGTGAACAAACCAAATTACTTACGACACCATCCACAGACTTCTCGTTTTCAAATGTTTTTAGAAACTCTCTTAGAACTTGATCTTCAGTCGCTCTCCCAGACGTGTATTTGGCATCATATTTAACTTGATACACGTTGTGTAGATCATCCAACTGAAAGGGAGTTGTTGAAAAGTCACTCAAGTATTGTTTTCAAACTCCACAACTTCACATACTAAATTGTGAGACTACTTATTTAACTGTGGCTTCATGTGAAAGATCCTTACAAATGATAGCATTGCTAGGCTTTCTACCGTTCTGTTAACTTCCACGTATAGTGTCGACGCCGTGCCTGTAGTAATGCTTGGCTAGTGAGGAGTGAAACAAAATAACACTTGGACCTCTGTTTGAGATAAAATGCACAAAACGTAAATCATCATTTAACTACATAAAGTCAGCGCCGTAAAGCATGTAGATTTTAGTCAGATAAATCTAATAGTGTCACCTAATACCTAGAAAGTATGAAGCTGGAGATGTCCAGCCTAATACAATCGCGTTGATTTGCCATGCCCTATACCATTGTCGCATAAACCATATACAAGTTGTCTAACTAATACTTTCTAATTGCGATGACAAGTGTATGATCTGACCATTTTCTCGTAGATTAAACCTAAGTGATCCCTATAAACAAGGTATTTACCACAAATATCTTCCATTGTTGAAACATATTCCGTGCTTTGTACGAATGTTAACGCTGCTTATAATACTACCACAGTTTAATTACCGTAATTTTCCCGTCCCCGGTTTGTCCATTTTATTGAATGCCTTCCTGACAACATCTATTCGTGAATTTGACATTGGTGGCTAAAGAAATAACTGTACAGTACTTAGCCAACCTACGCGTAAAGCACGTAGAAACTCGTCGAAAATTATTGTACCACTGCCATCCTTATCTACCATTCTGAAAAGCACATCAACCTCCTCTGGAGTTAAGTTACAGCCGAAATCATGGCAACCCTTCTTGAACTCTTCTTTAGATAAAGACTTGCTTCCATCGTCATCCATGATACGAAATTGTTTTCCAAATCCATAGATACCATTCGCTCCACGCAACAAACATTGACATCTGAGTTTTTCCAGTGGGTCTTTGGTCGAAGTAAGTACTTTACGGACATTTGACTGTAAGTCACGGATATCCGCCTCACTAGCAGTCATATTTGACGTTTAGCCAAAAACAAATTAGTGCGTTAGTGACTACTACTTTGCTATTTATTATTGTATACATTATAACACAAAAGTTCAATGAACAGCGTCCGTTTTTATTGGTTTTATTCGTTGTGGAAATGTTAAAGGATTTCTTACTTTGAAGAGAGCATTTTTTAGAAGTAATAGACCAGTAACACCTGAGGCTACAGACAGGTTTTAAAAAAAAATCAGTCTCAGTCTCGGAAGGATGCAAGGTGAGTGACTTGTTTTTGTCCTGATGATAGGATCTCTCAGTTAATACAATTTTCCTTAGAACGTATCCACATATGGAACCATAATTAAGTGTTTATATGAGGAGCTTCAACCGTTGATTCGACGTGGAAGTCGACAGTCAGTTAACAACAATTTATTCTGGGCCTGTGAGATTTTTTGTGGTAGCATTATAAATTCCCTGTTATGGAAGACAAAAAGAAAAAAGATATGCCAGATGCGAAACCATTATTAAGTTATTTAAAAGCTGTAATCGAGTAATATATATTCCTCCGAAGTGACTTGGAGAAAAGACTTAGTATAGTCGGTCTGTCTTCATACGGCAGCTTTGCAGTTCTAGGACTACACCTTTTTATTATTTCACTGTCTCTTTGAGGCAGAATTAGCGGCTTGTATCAACTGCGCGAGTACAAAACAAACAGACGCTTCGCACAAGACGGTGTTAACATCTATGTAGTTAAAGGCTTGAAGTAATGACCAATGTTTCTAAGACTTTCAGTAGCTACCACGCAAAAGCAGGTAGTGGTTTTATATCCCAGTCAACACTTACATCTAAGTCAGCGTGTATTTTGTCGACAGGTAGTTCAACGTTATTTACATTGTGTTTCTGTACCTTTGTGATCAATATAAATCATGGTGCAGTTAGAGGCATTTACCGGAAACTGCCAAAATCCAGACCGCTCGGCTCGTTCCCTAGGGTTGTTTATAGGCTTTAATCTGTCAACATTTATTATCGCCTTTCATATCTTGGTACCGTCAGCATGTAAGAAAACCGACGATGACGGGGCTAGGAAAGTCTTTTATACATAAGTCGAATAACACTGGTTTCAAGGCTATACCTTTAGGCACTCCATTGAGCACAATTTTCCAGCTGGACAGCTTGGAGCTAACGTATACACATTTTTAGAGCACACCCAGGAAATCATTCATCCTTATGAGCAAGTTTACTCCGATCTCGATATCTCCCGAACTAGATAATAACCAGTTGTCTGGGACCTTGTCAAAATCCCTGCCAAAGTCAATAAAAGCCACATATCTGTGTAGATGTACAACAACTTTGTTGTACTACCGAAGTTTTAGTGGTGGTAGATACCCTTCATTTGATAAAAGTAAATAGCCTGTAAATGTTTGTAATGGGTTTTCATTCACATCGTAGGATCAGAAAAATCGGAGCGAGAAATTATATTTCAGAAATGAGCATTCCAACATTTAGTGTAAGATGATAGGGAATATGATGACCAAGAAAAATCGGGAAGTGAGTGTGTGGAACTATGGTCTACTATGATGTTAGTGCTGCTCTAATAATAGACCTAATCCTAAATTTGTAGATTTGTCATGATATAACTGCCTAATCTATAAGATCTTACGTGGAAGTCACACCATCGACTACGCCAACTCACTGTATCGTATCAATTACCAATACATGATGTAGAACAAGGTTAGGCTAGAGAAGGAACAATATATTTAATACGAATAGAAGATATAAGATAACATTCAGATGGACCACGCCTGCATGGCCGAGCCATGCCATCCGATTAAACCCAGTCCATTCAATTGATTGTTCGCGCCTTCTCCATCGTTAGGTATTTATCTGCGTTAAATATTGAATATCTATTTTCCGAGTAGTCTCGTGTTGAGCTTTGTGGATTGTGCGGCTATTGTCCAATGCCACTACACTACTCTCCCACCAGAATCAACGTGATGTTGGTTCGATACCGAATTGGATGGGATTGTCGTGCGCCGAAGGTTACCAAGACTAGGAAGAGTCCACCGGGGTAATGATAAGCTGGAAGGTAAATCAAAAAGAAGGCGGCAGCATCTGGTCGGGAAATACATGTAATAATTTTAAAATATCTGCCTTCATGCTTAAAACGCTTGAAATGAAAATTTGGGTGAAGATTATTTGAACTATAAAGAATGGCATAACAATAATAATAATAATAATAAAACGATGCGTGTTAATAGCCGTTGGTTAATAACTTAACGTATAGGTAGTAAGTATTTTGTGTTTAGAAATATTAAAAGCAATTAATATTGTAGAAATGTTAATATTGGTATTAGTTTTGGTTTAAATTATGAAATCAAATAACGATTATGCCGGTAAGTTGTCCATATGAGTTGAATTCCAATTGCATCTGTATTAGTAGGCTAACTGAAGGAACAAAAGTATTACCGTGGAGAAGAATTCCAACTAGTGTTCCAGTTAGTTTGATACGGTTTATTTAGTTACGGGGAGATTTTCTCAACCTCATTTTTACTTGACCGTGATAGAATTTAGTAATACTACTAATACACATGAATGGTTATCAAAACAAAATTTAAATACGTGAGTGATAATTATATGAATTTTGGACAGATAGCTAGGAACAAATCGTTAAACATGAGTGTATTCGTAAGAGACATGCTCTAGACTCAATGTTCTGATCTGTGGCAGACTATTTATTTATATTTATACTTGCCGGCTGATTGGGCATACAAGTTAGTTGCAAGTATGCAGGCGGAATACGATTTAATTGAGATATAGTGGTTATAAGTTATTAAAATCAGTTAAGCCTATGTGTCATATTACGAAGTGATGTGGTGCTGCAAGATGTATTTAGCTAAATAAGTTTTTACAAGATGATTAATAGTGAGTGATGCTCATGTGATTATCAGGGAGAACATAAGTTGTAACCAGGGGAGTACACTCCCAACTCATGTCTATGATAATGGCTTGAACCTTAGTCAGTGTTGGGGTAAATTCGACATTGATGTTTTCAGTTTGCAGGAGATTTGCTCGACTGCTTATACTGATTATTTGCATGCATGATTGTGTCGCTAAACCATCAATTAGACTGACAAGGTTTTGAGATATTTACTGAATGAGCAACTGATAGAGAAACATACTGTAATCATCTGTGATGGATGAAGATAAAGAAAAACAACACTAGTGATAATTATAAGTCAATTTGCTGACCGAATTTGTTAATAGTTTCATTAATTTTATCAATCATATTACGTGATTGTCAAGTCATGACAATGCTTTATGACGATATCCTGAAACTATTAAATTTAACTAGTTATAGTGTTGATTGAGGATTAGTCAGTGGAAAAATAGGTATTGTTGCTTTAGGTGATTCGAAATTATCAGAAATTTGTAACGTTAAAGAATCCGAGACGCCTAATTTAATTATAAATTTCAATTCAGAAATATTCGTTTAGTGTTAATTCTAGTAGGCTACGGAGTTTTGATTTTAAACGTTTGTTTAGCCAACAGCTACCTGAGGATTTAGTTATTTTACTAGTGCAGTTGATAGTACCTAAATTTTTAATCTTATTATCTAAACTATGTTCGCATTTTAGGCTGCTAATATGATAAACCAATCCATAAACCCAAATACGATTAGCAACAACGACTATGATGGGTTTATTGATAAATGTTAAAGGCGATCCAGATGATTTCTAAATTTAGAAGACATGGAGATATAGTGTAACGTATGTATGGGCCAGGTTAACATGCAGGTTGTTGACGTATAGGTCGATTTAAAAATAAGGAACATGACCAGAAAATAATTTTAAAGTTTAGACTGCTTGTGAAACTTCAGGCAGGAATATGATGCGTTATAAACATTCCATAAGAAGTTACTGCATTTAGCCTAGGGACACTTACAAGTATATAGCAAAAGGAACCGGAAAACATATACATGTTAAGTTAAAAAAATCATTAAGTAAAATAGTTGAACTCGCCTGGATTATTTTTGAAAATTAGATTATTCAATGGACGACATATATAACGCCATTCGTGAGTAGTAATGATCCAAAAGCATCCAGAATAAAACATGCAGAATGGCAATCACTTCCAGGGTGGTTGATGCTGTTGAGGTTTTTGGGACTCGCTCTGATCAGAACTGAATGAATCCAGATAATTGTGTGTGCCATTGAATGAGCCATCTAAAATGAACTTATGATTGCAGAAAACTTATAGCTGGAACTCACCGTATTTTTTTGAGGTGTCATCCTTGTTGTTTGGCAATGGAACTCGAGAATATGAAATTAGGCAGGCAGTGGTCGGAAGAAAAAATATTACAGGATAGTGCATAGTTTAAAACAGGATGAAGTGTTAAGTGAAGGAACACTGAGAATAAGATCCAGATAGCTATTTAGCCCTTGGTTGCATTGTTAGTCGATGTATATTTACGCTATTTACAGGTCATATTTGTAGAGCTTGATGTTTAAACAAGACTATGTCGCTGAAGCATGTAAATGCTATTAAAGCTTGTTAACGAACCATCAAAGCTAATTACTTGATATAGACGACCAGTTCTTAATATCGATTGAGCTAGTATGTTATGAGAACTAATCAATATAACATTACGATAATACATGTGAGCATCAATCAGAGGACTATTAGAATATTGGGTTAACATAAATATAAAATCGATCGAGAAAGTTAAAGTGGAATTAAGGATTATTTGTAATAGGTTGCGTTTCTTTAGTCGGGCTTACCAATGTAGAAATATGGTCTACTATGATATTAGTGCTGCTCTAATAATAGACCTAATCCTAAATTTGTAGATTTGTCATGATATAACTGCCTAATCTATAAGATCTTACGTGGAAGTCACACCATCGACTACGCCAACTCACTGTATCGTATCAATTACCAATACATGATGTAGAACAACGTTAGGCTAGAGAAGGAACAATATATTTAATACGAGTAGAAGATATAAGATAACATTCAGATGGACCACGCCTGC